AAAAAAAAAAAACCTAAAAAGAAAAGAGTGCCAGGCCAGGAGGATGGAGGGATACAAGTCCAGCTTTGGTTCCACTTCAATCAGCCTTGGGCAAGGTCCTAACCATATGTCACCTAGCCTCAATTCTCTTTTGGAGGACTGGTAGGAATGAATCATGACAAATGCTGGTGCTTGACAGGTCCCTGAGGGAGGTGTGGCAGGTCATGGGATGGGAGAGATGAAGGGCTGCCCTCTAACTCTGAGAAGATTCTATTATAAACAGTAACAATTATTTCATTTATTCTGCATTTAGTATGTGCCAGACACTGGACTGTCTTCACCTTATTTGATCCTCTCTCTGTCAAGTAGGCTCTATTTTTCCATTTTACAGATAAGTAAACTAAAACACAAGAGCTCACCTCTCCAAGGTCACAAAGAGCAAAGCCTGGGTGCAAAATAGAGCTAGAACAGAGGTTAAAGTGCACTTCATATGTCCTACTGGGGCCTATGGAAGCTTGGTTCTTAGGTTATCTCTCAGTGGCCAATGGAGACATGGGCTGAGCTGGGCTGCTGCTCCCAGGCTAGTTCAAGATGGATGGGCTACAGGAAGGGAGGGAGACTCCTTGCAGGGAGGACTGCCAGGAGGGAGGAAGTCCTCCCCTGAGGTCTTCACCTAGGATCTTCATCATCACCCCACCCCAGCCCCCAGTCCCTGGATCCCAGAAGTGCCACTCCATCTCAGGCCTGGGGGAGGGGAGAAGGGGAGGAAAGAGTGCAGGCAGACCTACTTTCAAGGCTTTAATCCTTTTTACTTAAAGGATTTTTTTTTTTTTTTTGGCTTGGGGAAGACTTGGTCTGATCAGAGAAGAGACGCAGGGAGCTGACAAGCTTTGGAGGATTGGGGGGCGGGTAGTGAGGAGAAAGAAATACATATTTATTACCCTCAATTATTAAAAAATAGATAGTACCAGATCTTAGGTCCTGGCAGACAGTGTGGTATCATTTGTTCAAGGACTATTTTCTTTCTTTTTCTTTTTTGGTTAATTCTGTACAGACTGTAATGTAGTTAGCTTATTAGCAAAAACACCCTGGCCAGGTCCCAGTGGGGTGGATCACTCAGCTACTAGTGAAGCACACAGGGCCAGTGACCAGGGAACTTCCACAGTTCACAAACAGAGAAGGCTGCAGACCTCAATTGA